GTGAGGAAGATAATGAAGGGGTATAAACTATTCATGCAATGTATGAAGGTCTCGGGCCTCGGTTAAATGTAGGAGAGCAGTTGAAAGCAATATCACAACACTGATCTGACATGAGTCATCTCAAAAAAATAAAAATACACAGGAAACCAAACCAAAAAGGTGCACCTTAAACTAAATTGTGTTTATGTCACCAGATGTTCAAGAGAGAAAAAAACAAAACAAACAAAAACAAAAAATTGCTCCTAAATATAAAACCTGAAATATGGCTACTGACCACTGGGAGCCACATCCTAGGAGCACTCCGTTTATCTGCAGGAAGAATGAGTTTCCATTCTCTGTGGACCGGCTTCCTATTTTCATTTCCACATTTAGACTCCGGTCTGCCTTGAATATTGAAGTAACAGGCCAACTACTCTTTTCAGTGTCCTAAACTGAAATGAAACTGGCAGTTCCTGACTTGTATCTAGATAGTTCTGATTTCCCCTGAGATTCAGCTGGCCTAGAAATAAGAAAAATGCATCCCCTCTAAAACACACACAAAAAGACCACATAATTAACTGTCAGGACTCTGTTTGATTTGTTCAGCCATCATCTGGCACAGTAATGAATTCTTCCCAGAGCCGAACAAGTGCTGTGACACATCTACTGCAATTTGTGAGTTTATACGATGACCTAAAAAAACCTGGAAACATACTCACCGAGAAAACTGCATTTTGGAGTCCAAAAGGTATGGGGGTGAGTCTTGCTAAGGCCACAATTTTGAGTCCACTTCCTCCTTCCACCACGCGTATGACGGCACTGAGCTGTTCGTTGTTTCCAACTTTGTTCAGCACCCAGTCAGTCAACAGTCGTTTGCACACCACGTGTGCCACAAAGGTCCCTATTAGAACCCCCACCATAACTAGTCCCATGCCCAGCACAAAGCCGTAGAGGTAGCCAGCAGCCACGTTAAGAACAATATATCCCCATCCACATGGAAAGGACACGATAATCAAACCAACTATAAAGAGCATGGCTCCAACAAAGCTGTCCAAACTCTCCACCCAGAGCAGGAGGTCCTTGAGGTATTGGCGTACCAGAGCCACCGAGGAGAAACACACAGCAGTGAGGATGCACGCCAGCAGGGCGCTTTTAAAACAGAAAGTGGTGATACAACACGGGTGTCTGAACTCTGCACCACCGGTGAAGGTCGCCCCCCCTGCGTCAACGCTGGCCTCGGGAACACCATCCGACTTCCCCAAGCCAGTCCCCCTCTCATCAAAAGCGTTGCATATTAGGATGTCGATTTTGTCACACTCGTCCGTGGAGGTCTTCTGCAGCCAGCGGTTCAGCTGGATCTGCGTCTTGCCCACTGCGTGCTTTACAAGCTTGGTGAAAAGCTGCACGGTCGTAGCCCCTGACATTGACATGTCGGTCCTAAAACAGCCTCTGGGGACCAGCAGTGGAGCTCAGATTGACCTGGAAGCAGCTGTTATGTTGCAGGCTCCTAGAAAGCGTCTAAACACAGTCAAAGTCCATCTCAACAGAGACAAGTAATCACAAACTTCGCAGACGATGGCTTCAGCATAAGTAGTAGTCCATTGCTCTGGTGCTGTTACTGCACTGGCATAGTAAGGCATACAGGTAACCTTTTGCCATTACATTAACTGCCCAACTTAACCCGTGTTAGCAGTTTATCTCGGGTACACAAGCTGTGTAGCGTGCCAGCGCAGTGACTTGATGTTGTCAGTTTTGTAGTCGCTGTCTAAAGCACTCGCCATCTTCAGAGTTGTTATCACTTCGCTCAGGACAAGGTTGAGTCAGCGGCCGGAGGGACACGACAAAGATGGGTCTGCATGACAAGGGGAGAGCCTGTGCTATCCACATCAACTTTCAGGACTCCCCCAGCATTCACATCCAGTTTTAGCGATAACTCACCAGCACAAATCACTGCGTGGCTAACTTACTCTCCGCCGTTAGCTAACTAGCTCTCTGCGAGGATAAAGTCCAACAGTGCAATCTCGAGACTAAAACCACCGCCACCGGCCTTTCAGAGCCGCCTCTCCCGGACACCAGAGCGACACACAGGACTCACAAGCCGTATGTGAAAGCCCAGTTTGCTCTTTGTCTCCAGGCTAGCTGCTGTTGCTGTTGCTGTTTCACTCGTCGTCCTCTCTCCTGAGTGGATGCTGTCGATGTCGAAGCTATTCATACAGACCACTGTTTGTGTCCCAGAATGCCAAGTAACCTCAGCCCACGTGACCCACCGTTTAACTGTTTCAACCAATCAGAAAGCTCTCGATGTCACCGCGAGATTTTTTTTTAAATAAGTTGTTTTTGAGCGATTGCTTGAATGATTTTGTTTCTGTCTGCCAAGCTTAACGCGATCCCTGTAACGTTTCTTTTACTTCAATCATTCGGAGTCTCTCTGTGTTTTTAAGGCAAGATATACGTAACAGATATCACCGTGAAATGTCCCCGTGTTGTTACTCCTTACCGTCAGTGTGGCCGGGACGTAGCTGCGTGGAAAGCTCTCCTTTCTAAAAATAAACAGGAGCAAACAGACAGTGATTTCATTAGAAAATTACAAATTACGCAACAAGAGGAAAATAAACATAGGAATTAAAAGTCGTTTAAAGATGGCCTGGATTTCATTTTGAACACACGTCATTTTGATGGTTTATGAAATTTAAATAAATGTAACCGATAAACAACTGAAGCAAATTAAAACACACAAACACATACACACACACGCATGAGATTCATATAAATTCATGAGAGCAATTTATTGTTGTTGTTGTTACATGCTTTCTGAGACTTATTTTAGTGTGTGTGTGTGTGTGTGTGTGTGTGTGTGTGTGTGTGTGTGTGTGTGTGTGTGTGTGTGTGTGTGTGTGTGTGTGTGTCTCAATGTGCAGAACAGATATTACCTATACCAGGGATGTCAAACTCATTTAATATTGTGGCCTTCAGTGGGCCAGACCAGTGTAACGTCCCTTTCTGTCAGTGTAAACGCATGTAACTGCACATTTAATCCCCGAGAAGCGTAAAAAAGGGGGGAAGTGAAATTTCAACAGTATTTCTCAGTTTTTCTACATTATTAATGTAGAAAATGACAGAAAGGTTTTTGGTACCTCATTGCCTACATAAACATTCCAGTAGTGATATCATTATTAGTAGTATAAGTAAGTAGGCACTAAAAACAGGAACTTTTATGTCATTTAATTATCTATTACTTTACTTTGGTATAGTATGAATGGCAATAGGAGAGGTTTCTATGAACTTGTGAAAAACTTATCAAAATACAGATTAAAGTTTAAATCTATGCATTCCTTCACACCTTTCAGTGGGCCAGATTGGAGTCTTTGCCAGGCCAATTCTGGACCCTGGGCTTTATGTTTGACACCTCTGATCTACACATATGTTTGCTCATTGGCATATAATCCTACAAAAAAGGTTCTCAATTCAGTTTTATTCTACTATAAAAATTATACGTTTCCTCTTGATCACCTAAAATAACATGCTCTTAAATTCAGCTGGCAAAAGTATAGGTTGTCTCCAATCAGTCTTCATTCACAACAAGATGAATTAAGCTTAATTTTCTTACCATGTTCATTCAAAATAGCTTTCAAAGAAGGAATCAAAAATAAATATCCATCATGCAATGAGGTGATGAAGAAGCAGACCTAAATGCAGTACATGTACCACTAATCTGTAACTGAACAATAGTACTGCAGTAAATATAGTTAGCATAAAAATACACTGCAGATTATTTTTATGGACATAATTTCACGTTTATAAAAATCTGGTTCATAATTTCAGGCGGCACACTACTGTGATATGTGGCAGAGTAAGAGCACTTTCACTTATTCTCCTGTATTTCTGAGAGCATGCAGTATAATATTATAGCCTGAGGGGAATCACCCTGCTTGGTGTGCTCAGCATAAATTCATAACGAGGGGAGTGAAGCAGACAATAAGTTCATTGGTGCATCTAACACCGCTTTCTCGGCTGTGGAGCTGTAAGCCTTGAGGTGGTAGTCCTTTAAAAACAGACTAACCCCTCCTATCTGAGTATTATCTCACATAAACCCTGGACTATTAATTAAATTATATGTTTTTTCTTTTTTTTTTCCATCAATGTAATTTTTGGTTTTGTTGATCTGTATTTTTGTGCTATCACAGCACCCCACTAGATGGAAGTGTTACACAGTTTTACAGCCATTTCAACTCAATACAAGTTTAGCATGAGCGATACATGTGGCAGATTATAACATACATATCCTTGTTATAGTTCAATATTCCTCTTCTTCTTCTTCTTTTGCTAATGCAAAGCTACAATAGAAATCATTCTTAATGAGTTGTTGTTTTTTAATTTGTTTGTTTTTTAGTTGTATACATTTTCATTATGGTCAGATTAAAAGAGAGCATATACTGCAGCGAAAACACAGAAATGTCAGTCCTTGAGAGACTGGCCATTTTTGTGTGTTGAAGTGAGACCACCGTTTTCAAGCATTCAACTACCTGGGGGGAGGGGGATCTGTCTAGAGAGGACATCATAAGCCGACCTTTTATGTGGCCTTTGTAGCTTTTACAAAAAGTTCACATTTATGTAACAGCCTTCTGTTGGAGTAAGCTATTAGTGCTGCTCATTTGGCTGAATGCAGCGATGTTGTCAGAGTGTCTCAGGTGAAGTTTCTATGTATTTATTTATATATTTTAAAGCCTGTGCATCACAGTGTGAAAAACACGAATACTTCGCATCAACTGAGGCGGCATCAACACAGACAGTCAGTATATGGCAGGCTGTTGATTTAGCTGTCAAAATAAAAGCATATAGCTGCACATCGCTGCCTAACGGGGAGGAAAAAGCAGTCTCAAAGCTGACTGCAGGGCAGTTATATTTGGGCTTCGTTACGTGCACTGTAAGGATCGCATTAACTCTTATTTTCGGCTTTTAAAAGTAAACGTTTAATTGTGGCACTCCAGCCCGGAACCTGTGCGTTACTTCGCGTGTCTTGTCGGAGTCAGAGAATAAGAGGTTCAAGCGGACACACATTCCTCTGCAGATCACAAGTGAAGCTACACTGTGGATGATGGATTGTTCAGAAGAGGTTCAGCCGGTGTCCGAGGAGCCCAGCGCTCAAATAGAGCTCAAAAAGGGAATGTCCATTTTCATTGATGTAAGTATCATGTGTTTTTTATCCTTATTAAGACCAAAATTACACTTAAAAATCAACACTGTTAAAACATAACTGTAGAAAAATATATATACCAGGATTATGTGATCCTTACAAAATGCATTACAGTTTACAGATTTCAATTTATTAGAAATAAAGAAGACCTATTAGTGTTGATTGTGGCTCACTTGATTTAATATGGATTCCTCTAATGTATGACGTGTACAGAGGGCTTTCTTTCTAGTAATTATTTCATACAACTCACATGTACTTTATCTATTTGGTAGAAGGATTTCAAAGCTTACTCCTTTCGCTTCTCCTCAGCCTTAAAATCAAACACAGTAAAATAATTAATTAGTAGAAATCTGCCCCGTTTTGTTGATATGTTTGTTCACAAATCCAGCTTAAATATGAAAAATCTAATTAACATTAACATATTTCTAATTTGAAAAGATAAACCTGTATTTTTTTGTGGGGGAAATGATCATGCAAACATGGATGTAGGTTTTGTTTGAGTATTGTGCAGGGGGTGGGGGTACATATTCAATTAAATTATGAACATCATTCACTTAATTTCCTAATTTTCACTGCAAATCTGTGCAAAGAAAAACAAACAAACCAAGCCATAGGTGGTAGTTGTAGACATGCTGGTGATTTTTCCTTAAGCGGGTCTTCTGTTTGGGTCCTGTTTTTGTTAGGGATGGAGGCAAGTGCAGAGGGAGTAAGTGTGGACAATAAAATAAGCCTAGGATTGATTCCTCACACATCTTAAACTCTCATCCTGATCTAATGACCCTTCTCCAAGTGTTTGTGTCTTAGCAGCTTTACCCCTGCTCTTAATCAGACGGCCTTCTGCCTCTTATCCACCTACTGATTCAATTTCCCTCCATGCTTTCATTCATTTGTGATATCTTAATCATAAACCTGTTGGCTGCCATCAGTATTTTCGGGAAGGCACAGAAGGAAAGCAAATGAACCAAGTGAAGTGTTTTGAGTGCTCGGTAAGAGGAGAAAAGTGCTTTGTAGTACATTTAGCATTTAACCAGAGTTATTAAAGGCAGAGACCTCTATCTATCCAGCCAATGTCAAACTCATTATCTGTCTTCTCCAACTGGATTACAGGGAATCAAACCATTTCTTGTTTTTAGGGGAGAGCTGGTCACAAATTGTTGCTTCTTGGGTATCTTTTGTTTCTTCTGAGTTTCAACCTCGGTGTGCCTCATTAATACACATATCTTCAACCCAATCACTGACATTATCTCAGATGTTTGCATTTTTATTCTGCTGCCGTTGTTGCGGTGTGAGATTTATTTTATTAATAGCATATGAAAGATTCATTTGGGTGAGCTGAGGTATGAAATGAGATGAGACCCGGACTTGAGTTTAATTACAGGGGTAAAAGCAGAAACGGCAGGAGTAGTCATCAAGATTACTCTAAATATTATTTAAGCCTGTGCTATTAAGATTGTGACAATGCGTTCACGGGGTGATAAAGAACAGACACAACAGCTTTAGAGAGCAGACACAATTACATCAGGAGCAGGTGCTTATTTTGAGCATTTATTAATATCTATATTATTTTTATACTTAATTGATAAAAACTTAATTATATGTAATTAAAATACCATGACTTAAAAATACCCTATTCTAGTTTCTTATAATACAAAGTGATGTCTTTTTTGGTAGTCTTTTCTAATTTATGTACACTCACCAGACACTTTATTTAGGTACACCATGAAGCTTAGTACTAGTTTGAGTACAGGGAGCTCATTGTTGAGCTCAAGAAAGCATTTTGAGATGATTTTAAACTTAGCGAGATGATATGTGATCCTGCTGGAAGCAGCTGTGAGAACATGAGGACACTGTGGTTATAAAGATGAGCAACTCAGGTAAGCTGTGGCCTTAGAATGATGCTCAGTCAGTACTAATGGATCCAAACTGTGCCAAGAATATATTTTCCAACGCATTACATCACCAGCAGCCTGAATCACTGATACAAGGATGGATCCATGCTTCCATGTTGTTTATGACAAATTCTGAGTGTAGCAGCAGAAATTGAAACTAATTAGACCAGATAATGTTGTTTTTTTTTTCTAGTCTTCTGTTGTCCAGTTTTGGTGAGTCAGTGTGACATGTAGCCTCAGTTTCCTGTTCTTAGCTGACAAAAGTAGCAGCTAGTGTGGTCTTCTGCTCCTGTAGCACATCTACTTCAGAATTCAACATGTAGGGCATTTAGAGATGCTCTTATGGATATCTTTGTTCCAACGAGTGGTTACTCTTGTTACTCTTGCCTTCCTATCAGCTCAAAGCAGTCTGTTCATTCTGGAATTTTCATCCAGAGAACAGCCACTCACTGGATATTTTCTTTCTCTTTTTTGGACCACTTTCTAACATGGTTGTGATGGTTCCTGCCAAGTGAATGGTTGATTACATATTTGAAATAATAATGAAACAAAACAATTTTTTCTGCTTTGTCGCTTTGTAGAGGAACTGAATTTAACTAAGAGATGAAGACAGAGAAGCAGTATTTGTACAGCAGATTAAAAAAAAACTGGAAAAAAAAGTAAATCAGAGGACAGAATTGACTGCCAGGAGCTTGAAGATGGTGGGTGGATATTTTATAGTAGTTTTCTTTTTCTTTTTTTTTTTAACCTGTGTGCAGCTTTGGGCTAGAATCCTCTTAGTCTGGAAATCCCACAAATAAATGAATGAATTTAAAACAGACATCATGTAGATATAGATTTATCCTCCAAAGCCGCCTGTGCAGAGTCTTCTTCATGGTAAGTAAAAGTAGGATGTGCTATTTTGAGGATGGTGGCTCAAGCCTTGTGGTCATTGCCACTCCGCCTTTCATCTCCTCTGGACTCTGGGACAGCACTATCAATAATTTAATGACGCACTGCTTTCGGCAGAGTGATCGATGATCCTCGCACTCACACACTTACTTACTTTAACTCTGGTGGTGTGGAACCTGCTTTAATATCCTGTTGTTGTTTTTCTTCATTTCCTAATTACAGATCTTACGGAGGGCCGATAAAAACGGTGAGTATTTCACCATCTGGCTCGTTTCAGATTCACACACCAACACCACTCTCTTCTGTGTTGAGCGTCACTTCAACCTTTCTTTCACAGATTACTTTCTCAATGAAATTCCGATCATGACTCTCTGCTGATACTCTGTCAGTTTCCATGGAAACAGGAAACTGACCATGCCCACTGAGGTTTTGTTTCAGAGCATTTACAAAGAAAAACACTGACATTTGTGAACACTTTTATGATAGTGGTCCACACAAAATGACTCAGAGGTGCCCTATCAGGTGGCAAATTATGTTGTTGTTTCACCTCCACTCTCTAATGCAGGATAAACATACAAAAATACATCTTTTATGTTCTTATTGATCAGAGAAGAGCAGACAACAAAGGCAGGGAATCCAAAAAGCACTAAAATAATAAATAAATCTCTTTTTGTTACACATGCAAGTGTAATATAGGATGCACATAAATCCTCCATCTTAGCTTCTTTAAGCTGCTTCACTGTTTACTTTTCATTTAAAAACTGTTTTGACCCCACACAATTCAAGCAAGTCTTTGTTTGCTGAGATAATAAATATGCTTTGAAATAAATAAAACAAGATCTAAATTTCTTTCATTTAATTCTGGAAAGAATTAAAGTTTTTTAATTTAAATAATGTTTTTGTAAGAAATGACTTTGATGTTCTGACTTTTACTGAAGTGTATTATAAACATAGATTGTATATACCGGTAAAAGATGGAAGTAGCCTCTGGGTCTGAACAATGAGGACAAACGTCAAAGTGCCTCAAATCTGCATTTACTCTAATGACCTGCAGGGGGCGGCTTTATTTTTTTTAGCTCACTTTTCTGATTGCTTTTTAAACACATTTGCTAGTTTAGAGTCTATTCACCGCCTCATTACATTACATCTTCTGTGGTTTTGTGCTGTTCATTAGAGTATAATGCTAAATCACAGTTTACCATTTCAATTTAACATTTAGCCAGGGGAGTAGGAAAATTAGCAATTTGGTTAGATGATGCTTTAAGTTGTGGTTATCTTGTGACTGACAAGCGCCAACCTTAGACCTCAGTCACTCATGGAAGATCCTGACTTGTCTGAAAACACTTGCAAACTATTTGTTGTGAAAATACTGTGAAAAGTGTGACCAAACCATTCATTAATTTCCACAAAACAATAAATATAAGAAAAAAATAGATCAGTTTATAAGGAAATTCTTACCAGATGTTGGTTACAACCCATCCAATCCATACATGCAAAGAAATCACACCATAAATGTCCATGAATTAAGTTATGTGTAAATAGAAGAAATGATAGAGAGAAAATGTGTTGATCATACGAAGAAAGGAAGGTGCAAAAAAGCACAAAAAGTCATGACCCCTGCTGAAATCTGTCAGGAGTTAGAAAGCAGTCGTGATACTTTGTGCAAATTATTACGTTTGCTTTTCAAATTAAAAGCTGCTCTTAATTGATGCAACCAACACGTTTCAAAAGGTGCAGCTTTTATGTTGAAGGCGAGTAGTCTCGGTTTCTGGTTTGGGTCACTCTTTTTCAAGTTTCACGACTGCTCGGCGAGTTGCATTGCAGACTGCACATAACCATGACAACCTGCAAGCGCCCAAACAAATCCCACTGTTTTTGATACAATACTGTATACCTCTTTGTAACCACTTTCACCCAGTGACTACCTGCAGCCAATTGCCCGTTGGTCGGGCAATACACATTTTTTCTAGCAACTGATGTTTCCCAGGGACTGTGGACTCATGCGTGCAGTAGCCACGATGTCTGAGATTCACCCTGTTTGACAGTTTCATAGAAACAAGCTGGAAATGGCCAAAATGTTCATGTCGAGGGTTCAGAAGGGGACGTTACGAAAAACTGCCGCTATGTCCATCCTATAACGTCCATCAGCGATAACCTGGCGGGTGTACTTTGCAATAAACAAGTAAACATTAGCACCCCTTTCTGGAAACAGCTGTTTGTTTTACAGTGTTAAAAAGGAAAATAGTAGAATCAATTTTCCTATAAGTCATATAACATACCGACAAATTAACAGACCTCTATATTTAGTTGTCTTTCTTGCATATATTTTTAATTTGGGGCCTCAGTTTGTAGCAGGAGGTTGATGGTTTGATCCCCAACTCCTACAGGTAGCATGTAGAAGTGTTCTTGGACAAGTTGCTGACCCATTTGCCCCTCATGTCATTAGTATATTTGTTACATCTACCCATTAAAAGTCTGCATGAATGTGTGACTGCAGCTTGTAGTGTAAACAACATAAATGCAGTCCAGTTGAATTTAGCAGAAATGACCAAAAATAGCAAATCAGTATTTTTCACATGGCATGACATGCTCCATCATCTACTAAATATCCATCCCACGCCGTGTATGATTTGAAGCCTTGTCATGCAGCAATAGAAGTCATCCCACGTTTGTTTTTATTGTTGCACAAGGAGCAGCACATGCCAAACCTGCTCCGAGCGTATTTCTGAATGCACTGACAGTGACTCACTGTAGGCTCTATTTTTGGGCATGTGATTGTGTTCCCTTACAGCAGCTATAGAAACATGCTACACATTTCCTCCAGATCAGGTCAGCAGTGACAATTTGAAGATGGGCCACACTGTGTCACAAAAACAGGAAGAAACCACTGGAGCCAGAGCTGCGTGAAAAACGAGATGTCGTTGGTCTTTGTTTTCGCTGGAGGGCGTTCAGTTTGGAGCGCTCTGTTTTGAAATTCTGTTTATTTTCAGCTCATGAATATTTCATACTACTTTTATTCTGTTCATAATTGCAGCGCCTCAAATCATAAAAAATGACTGACTGTTTGATATAATGTTAGTCTAGTGGAACAAATGGTGATGACCTGCTTTATATATGGAGAGAGGGATAATAAAAACAAGATCAATGTACCTTTGCTGGTTTATTTTGTTATGTTATATTACTCCTTGTTTGATGTGAAAGAGAATCTGATGTTTAAACTTGATGCAATGTTTTACTGGTATAATTTTTAACATCTAAAGACACCTCAGGTCAAACCAGCTCAAGACAAATATTCTTTATCAATGTCATCTTATCAGTTTTATAACAAAATGATCCGCCAGTTTCACTTTTACATTTGTTTGGACACATTTTCTTATAGTCTGATGTCTTGCAAACACAAACCAAATCCACGATGTTTTAAAGTGTTGAGAAAGAAGCCATCCTGAGAAGATTTGTTCTTTACCCCCAGATGATGGAAAGCTGTCCTTTGATGAATTCAAATCCTACTTCTCTGACGGAGTCCTGACAGCTGAGGAACTGAAGGAGCTCTTTCACACGATCGATACCCATAACACAGAGTAAGACTCGCTTTACCTTCTTACCAGTTTATTCCATTCAGATTCCATTCAGGAGAGGTAAGGGGCGAGAGTAATCGGTTTCAAAATTCTGAACGATATTGTTGTGTTTTCCTTTTTAATAACATTCATCTTTTTAAAAGTAAGAAGAGATTTACTTCCTCAAATTATTTTGTGAACTAACTAAAATAATACAACAATATAAATGAAATGGCTGGTAAAATTTGTTTGGAGCTTTCCCACTGAGGCTTTGAGAGGTAATTTTGAATTTAGTTACTGCTTTCAAAAAGAGTTTTTTTTTTTATTGTAATACCTGTACAGATTTTTGTTTCACCCTGAGAGACTGCCACAAGTAGAGAAATAAAGTGAGCTTCTGCATGCTTTTCTTGTACACCATGTCAGTGTGTACCAGTGTGTGAATGTGAGAGTGAATGAATAGTGGAATTGTAAAGCGCTTTGAGGGTCTCGAAAAGTGCTTTATAAATGCAATCCATTATTATTATTATTATTATTATTATTATTATTATTATTACTCTCAAATATCAGGCTTGTCTAACATGGTTTCCAAATTCTTGTGTATTATAAGTCACCTTTCAATCAGGGAAACCGTCAACGCATCACAATGAGGCCTATCATCGTTAATGATGATCCCAAAGTCCTCCCTCACTACACCTGTGAACTTTCTCTGTGGTCTTCCTCTTTTCCTCCTGACCTGCAGCTTTGTTCTGCAAGACTCAGCTGGAGGTGGAAGCACAGTAAATACAGATCATCTACTTTTAAAAATCAGGCACTGATGTGCAATGTTCCCTTTATATTCACAATGTCCCAAACACCTAACGGTGAGAGGAAGCCAAAGACACACTGACACTTTACTGTCGACCGATTTGCACTGATTTTTCTGCTTTTTAGTTCACACCAATTCTTTTAAATCACACACATGAGAAACCACATTACTTATGCTCCCTGCAGACATTATAATGTGAACCAGCTCCTGCATCAATCAGGATACAGATAATACTTATACAGTCACTCCTCTGTGATTACACTGAAGGCATTTGTGAGCAAATGACCCGCTGAGCCACAAGATATTTAGAAATAGCTGCTAGTTTCAGTTATATAATAGCAGTGCAGCACTGAAGCACTGTTTCTGTCTGAGAGGCATTTAGCAGGTGAACAAACCTTTTAGTGCCATTTTGACAAAGCTTAGATTAGTATGTAAGTATTTCTAATCTCTGTCTTCCAGCTATATAACACTGGCATCCTTAACCCTAAAGTCCCCGATCAAAGTTTTATATAAAGGAAACAAGTAGAACTAAATATATGTGTGTTATTTTAGAGTGATGTAGAACATGGTTAGGTTAGTAAAAGCATCTGTTATTGATCTAATGTTTAGATAGTCATAACAGAAGAGAAATAAAAGTGTAAAGCCATGCTAGCTTCTGTGCCACGCTTCAATTAGCATGTGCACAAACAAGCTAACAAGTGCTGTCATAAATATACAAAGTATAATATAGAGTAACTGTATCGTCTATCACCGTGTACAACCAGTATATAATAACACATTATTATTTGGTTTACACTTCATTACCTGCCAAAGAAATGGAGAATTTATGGTTAGCGTTAGCGGTTTCACACAGAGCGCCACTTTTAGCACTTTAGCCACTGACTCTGTTGTGCATTGAATCAACACTGCTGGACATTTGGTTTTATGAAACTAAACTAAAGCTATTCACAACAGAAGAAGTGGTTATAGTGATTTATTTCAATAGAAATACATTTTCTAATAGAGATGTCAAAGACTCGAGAGCACTCAGTATTTTTTATGATGAATTACCACTTTGAATAAACCACCTCACCTGGCCCTCAGTTTGACGTTAGACATTGAAAAATAATGATGATTATGTGTACTAATAAAGATCTGCAGTCTGAATCAGGTTGAAAATAGTTCTTCAAAAAGTGCTTGGAGAAACTTCATTCTGTGTAAGCTATTAGTTAAGTTTTCTTTGGTGTGCCTCACATTAATCAGATGCAGGTTCTGCATCAGTGGTCTAAAAACACTAGAAAGAGACTTTTGTAAGCTTTAAAGCAAGCAGCTGTTGAGCATTCAGCCAGCTGTTATAAACAAAGAGCTGGCTTAAAACTACACAAGGATGTAAAGGAACTTGTTCTGTATGTTGTTGGGCTTGTAGTTTACACACTGGGCCCTAGTGTCTGTTGATAGAGTAATAGTCACAGGATGGTTGTTGTTGTCTATATCACCCGAAGCAAACAGTGCTAATTCTATTAACACTGCTTAATGAGTACACTTATCAGGAAGCTTATTAAAATATCTCTGTTCACTCCACACAGTGGTGTGTCAATCATGTTACGTACTTCATTGGTGTAATTAAACAACCAGAAAATTAAACACTCTGACTCAAGTGGTTTGATACAGGTTGATTCTCTCTCTAAATAAATAGCTGCTGCAGCTCATCACATCATCACAACAATTATAAGAATGCAGGATTTGCACTCGGCATTACATCACACAACGATCACCTTGGAAAATTTACATTTAAATCAATATGTTAAACAGTTTCAATGTTTTGGTGTCCAAACTCACCTAAACTGCAAGTGGACAAAAGAAAAAACAAGCTCTGGGGAGGCCACAGCGATCAGTAAGTCTGGTCTCCTCACCTAACCAGTTATAGAGCCTTTTGAAGGGTTGTGCATCCACTCACAGAGCTAAAGTTAAACTTACTAACAACTGAATTTCAGTTTTTTCAGAAAAGTTTTTTGCAGACTGAGCACAGAGGCATCAAAACTGAAGTTTAATTGATTTTTATAAACATTTTTAAAAGGATAACTTCAGAAACAAAACCAGATTTCTTAAAATCAGAATATAGTTACTAACTAAATTTATTATATACACACAACCAATCACATGACAGCAACTTTTTAGGCATGTTGATAAAAAACATGAAAGCATATATCAGTTCTGCCTTGTATCAGCAGTTCAAGCAGAAGGTAGTGGTTTAATGTTGTTAGGGATATTTTCTTGGTACATTTCAGCCTCCTAAGCACCAGCTGAGCATCATTTAACCACCACAGCCTACCTGATTATTGTTGCTGACCATGTTCATCCCTTTATACCCAAAGTGTATGCATCTTCTGATCTGCAGCAACAGCAAGGTGTAATTAGTTAAGAGGTCATTAGTGCCTAAGTCCTCATCGTATACTTTTACATGGCTTCAACAAGATAAGCCAATGATAGGGGTGACTTAACAAAAAGAAAAGAAATTATTTGGCCATTTGAAAAGCAAGAAGAAATTATCTGGCTTTGTCACCACTTGCTCCTACAGTCATCACCATCTAAACGTCTGTCTACTTCCTTAATATTTTAAAGTGATAATAATTATTTCACAAACACATTTTTACACCAGATCTCTTCCTGACTCAGTATTAAAGATGATTTGTGGCTATAGCTGGAATTGAACCAACCAACAACCTTTCAGTGTGTATGTGTAGATTTGATGTGATATTTGTAATGAGAATAGAGACCTAAAATGTCCCTTTATTCCTAAGCAGAGCTCAGCAGAACTCAATTAATGATATTTAGTTTTATTATATAGATTGTATCAGATATGTATTCAAGAAAATATCAACAACAAAAAAAGAAAAATGCATACTGTTGACATACAGTGGAGTCCAGTTTCCTATTATCTTTACCAGACTCCGTGTTAATGTGTGCCTCCACCTGTGAAATGAACACAGGAGGAGGCAGATGACAAAGTTGTAAGGAAGTCAATTGGAAGTCTCTGGTTGAATCCTATATTGATTAAAGAACGAGTAACCAGATTGTAAGGTCTCCCTGACAGGCTGTTAAACCTGCTCAGGTCCATGTCGAACACTGACATTATTCAATACAGTGGATTTAAACAGGCACACACAGCATGCTGCATGTATGGATGACAGATTATTGATATGGAATTAACTGTATTTACAGTATTTCAAGGTTGCTTTATTTATTTATAAAGGTAACAAATCTTCAGAGCAATGGTAATGTACCTTCAGTGTCAGAGCAACCAGGCTTCAAGCAAAACAGGAGAGAGGCTAATGGTGCGTTACTTAGTTGTCTGACTTCTGGCTCCTCTCTCCGTTTTCTCCTGTTTGGATCATTGATTGCAGCACTCTCCTCTTGCAAACAGCAGCCACGGCTTGCATGAAATGCGGTTTAAACGAGTGAAATCCCCTGGTATCAATGACTAGAGCAAGAAATAAGATGTGTTTTTTGTGTCGTCTGAAGATAGTTGTAGTGCTGATACAGTGCCTAATATTCTCTTCACTTCGTCACCTCTCCTTTGTTCCACTTCTTTTCTCTTTTGGGCTCTCTCTTTCAGGAACAAAAATACTCAGACCACCCAGAAAAGCATCCATGCATGAACATTTATTAGAAACGGCCAACATTTCTGAAACTCCCCATTTGGCCAATTTGTCTCTCACTCATGCCTCTGGAGGCCAAAACACCAAAATTATTCTGTTACTCATCGCATATTTTACTCAGTTCTATCTGTCATCACATTGATTCATCAAAGCGAAGACTGTGTCAAAGAGATCTTTGCAGGAAAAATGTACCTCTGTCCCTGGAGACGTCTGTTTTTAATTTAAATACCTGTCATTTTCTTCTTTTACAGCAACTTGGACACGGATGAACTCTGTGGTAAGTTGAGTCTTTTAAATGCAGACAGAAAAGTAAAGATAGGAAAGTAAGTTGTTAGACATGGTCACATGCTCCCAGACCAAACCCCTAAGGCAGTGCGAGTGAGGTGTCACACCAGTGCTTCTTCAACAAAACACCTACAGCCCTGTCCCAGTTGTCTGACTCACAAAATGTTTTTTGGTTTGGTTTTTCTGCTTCGAAGAGTACTTCTCCCAGCACCTCGGTGAATACGAGAACGTTCTTGCTGCCTTAGAAGACCTGAACATGTCCATCCTGAAGGCGATGGACAAAACAAAGAAGGTAAGATGCTATAAATGAATGTAATCAGGGGGAACATACAACCGACATGTGAATAGTAATGATGTTTCCTGTGTTAATATTCACATATCTTTTGGGCATTGATGTTTTTGAAATTCTCTTGAAAGTGTGTTTTTCTTTTTCACAATGATTTCTGCATTTCAGATTTTATGCAAATTCCAGTTCTTATTAAAACAAAATAAGTTAAGGCATTAGACTGTTTTTTGTGCTCTTTCTATCAGGGAGGTCGTCTTGATGAAGCTACTGACATAACAGATATTTTAAATGCACCTTTATTATTATAAACGTAGCATAAAAAAGTAAGAAAATTTGTGTTTGTCAACTGTTTCTTTGGTGTAACAATCTTGCCAAATATGCGTGTGTGTGTGTGTGTGTGTGTGTGTGTCTGTATAGTCATCAGCAATTGTATTACACGTGTCCAACTCAATATCTAATCAGCCAATCACATAGGTGGCGTCACGGCTGACGAGGCAGGTCGTGTGGAGGTAAAGTGAGGACCCCAGTGCAGTCAGAGGTTGGTATGAGGAGTGAGTTTATTTAAATGGAGACGGTGAGGACAGGGACTAAGAAATAATTAAACAGGGAAAACCTAAACGCACAGAGCTGAATCTAAAACTCACAGGATAACATGCAGATGAACACAGGGAGACATCACAGACGAACCAGCAACCAGCAGGAGAAAACACAGGGCTTGTATATTCACAGGGACAATCAGGAAACAGGAGACAGGAGGGAAACACAGCTGGGAGAAATCAGAACCGACAAGACAAGGAAGCAAAGCAGAATACACTTACATGAGACACAGACCTTCAAAGTAAAACAGGAAGTACACAGAAATAGCCTGGAGGGAGAAAAAACATGGAGGAGCACATGACGGGATGAGGAAACAGAACACAAGGAGTGGGAACAAAGCACAATACTCACATCACTATATCCACTACGTTCACACTGCAGGTCTTAATGGTTAATTCCGATTTTTTGATCGATTTTTTTTTATTTTTTTGTCTGCTTGTTCACACTACAAATAAAATGTGACAGCAAACGTGCTCTAGTGTGAACCCTCAAAGCGGCCCGCATGCACAAAAGAAGACGTCACACACAACGCGCTCTGTTTAGACCCAGACCAAACGGTATTGTTTGACTGATGGCCGTTAATATCAAGACTTGTTTTGGACTTTACGTTTCCAAATTTTGCTTTAAGTTATAAAGTTATTTTGTTATTTACATATGGCCTAATAATTATCCTTATTGCTGTTTTAGAGAGGAGCGGTGCTTCAAAGGATAGTTGCAGATTTCTGTCAGAATCTGCAGATTATACAGTACAAATAAAATGTTCATGTTCCTCCAACGTTGTCTTCCCAACAGTTTCACTGGATGGCCAGAAAGCGTTTGCGATGTCTTCTCCGGCGCTGATAATTGGCGTCTGTCTTGTGTCAGTGACGTAAAAGACAGATTTAATGCGACATGACCATTCAAACAGCAGTCGCTTTCTAAAACATCAGATATGTATCAGATTCAGTACCACATAAGAAAGTGACCCAGATCAGATTTGAAAATATCGGATTTGTGCCGTTCACACCGTCATACCATGATCGGATATGGGTCGCATAGGATCAAAAAAGTCGGATTGGATGCACCTGCAGTGTGAACGTAGCCTTAGACACACAGAGGGAGACGCATGGGTCCGCTACACAGAGGGGAAATTTCTAAATAAGGTATACAAGGAACATTACCCTATAGAATAACTAAAGACTGACACTGAGGACTTAATACATAATTCAAAATGACAAAAACACAGGAAACTCAAAACACTGGGTCGAAAAAACCAAGGACCCTGACAAGTGGCTGTAGCCCAGGAATTAGAGCAGGTGGTCTACTGATTGGCAGATTAGATTGGAGGGTTAGTGGTTCAATCACAGTCTGCATGCCAAGTATCCTTGAGCAAGATACTAACCCGATGCATCCATTAGAATATCAATGTGTGTGAACGTTAGCTTGGAAACACTGAAAATCATAGAAGAAAGTGTGTGAATGGAGGAAAGCACTATATGAGAATCAGTCAGTCCAACTCAGTGCGCTTAGGCATGCAGACATGGTGGCAACAACAAAAATTAGATATAATAAATTAGAACTATTTATACCTGCATGTTAAAATAGAGCTTTATCTTGGCAAATGGCTGTAAGCTGCATTCACAGTACTGGCAAAGGCCACTAATTTTTAATTTTATTTCACAATAAAATAAATGTATCTAATGATAATTTCCTTTATACATTTTTTTTTGCTAGATATCAGACATCACAATAATATGTGTGTGTCTGTGAAGGTTCTCAGTCATCCAGGTCATCGTAATAAAAGGATCCATATTCCTTTGACAATAATATGTGTGTGTTTTTTTCACAGTGAGTGAGTTAAGACTCAGTGGATGTGACATTTGAGATAAGTTGTGTCAATTGGAGTAACACAGGAAACTTTTGATTAAATTTAGAAGATGTACAGACAATAGGAAGGCATGTTTGATTTTCCCAGAATGTGTCCAAAGCTACATGCTGAAAATCAGCATGCTCCTGGGAGGACGCCCAGCTGGCGTTCTCAGATCTCCCATTAGTCACATTTCCATTACAGAGCCAAAAAGGACAAGCCATGGCTCATGCATACTACTAATGAACCCCCCAGAACAAAACATGTTATAATTCTTTTTGGACTTGCAGCCAGCACAGATGACAAATTGAATGGATTGTGGCTGCGTTACCAAACAAATATGGCTTTTGATCTTTATGTATTACGTCCTCTTGATCTTACTGTCTGAAGCAGAATGCCCTTTGCATTATCAGAGACGAGAGGAAGGAAGATGAGAGTGGCATGAGACATAAAGTCAAAAAGACAGGAATGATCAGACACGAAGAAAAATGGCAGGGTGAAAGGAGAAATGACAAAGAGAAATGGGAAAAGGATGTGAGCAGAAGGAAGAGAGGTGGCTTATTAGATCTGGAGGGAGAGCTTCTATTTCTTTGTCGCACTCTCTCGTCTTCTTTGTAGTATCTCAGCTGGTGCACACAGCACATGCTGTGAAGCTCAAATCGCCCCTCAGATCTTCAGTGAAGCAGACACATCTCATCGTGGCCATTGTGTGGGAGTCAAACCATTAATTTGTCAGTTGTATTTTTTTTTTTTTACTGGCACAGAAAGAGGTAACAAATGATGACATCCAACTTATACATGTAAAAGTTGTAGTGTCAAAGATAAATGATGGCCAATCTCAGATAAGGCTTTGGTTTATAGAGTGTGTTGGGGAAAAAACAGCAGTAAAGGTAGATTTTATAGAAAAAATTGGATCAAAACAGATTTATTAAGAAAATATGAGGTGCAAAAAAGTAGTAGAAGCTCATAAGACAAAAAGGCGTTGTGGGAAAAAAGGTTAGACATGAAGTAGCATAGCTGTGAAGTACACCTGCTTGAAATTTCACCATTTCTGCAGAGAAAAATACACATAGCTCTGCAACCCCTTTTGCAATCATTCAAGGGTCTCAACACGTTTAAGCTGAGGTGTGAAAATCAAATCGCACCTCAAATCATTTTTCTGTTCTCCAAGAGGATAACTGAGAGCCGGAAATGAGACATCGGCGGGCGGTGGCGGAGGGGAGAACCAGGCAGTGTGTATGCTAAGGATTTATCATTTTCTACTGATGCTATTCACCTTGCAAATCTCTCAGAAAATCTCTAGTGCTCCCCCTAGAAAACACTCACACTGGATATTTGAGCCTAAATGAAGACAAATTATTCTGCACAAATTGGACAGAATGTGCAATAACTTCCAAATTAAATTCCAACACTGGACTGTGAAAGACACACAGGTTTTCACCACGATGAAGTCTTTCTGCTTGCGCTTTTCATAAGATTTCTTTGACCTTAGAAATGAGTCACAGAAAAAAAAACAATCCCCGTGTTTCTCTGATTGTCTCTGGGTATTGGCTGAGCAAGAAGGAGAACAGATGCTCCTTTAGTCACAAGAATAAAGCTCAATCGTCTCTGTTGGGCTGAGTATGTATTTCAGTGGGTAGTCTCTGGCTGGGGATGTACGTGAGGGGGCTGCAAGGTGTTTTTTTTTTTTAATATATATTTTAATTTTGCACTGGAATACAATAAGTGTGTGCACACAAGCTAATTTATTTGTGTCCATGCCTCATGTCTTTATGTACACGTGCGGGGGTGCTGGAAGAAGCATTGAAGCCAAATCTATGTGATCATAGTCAGTCCGTCTTTTATTTTATACAAATACTGATGCCAAACCTGTAATCTAAAGTTTTAATTAATAAAAAATAATATGCAGTGCTGCTGCCTGGTAAAATGTAGCCGTGTTGTTTGCTGTTTGGTAAGTTTAAAATTAGTGGAAATTTACACACTCCCCAGAAACAGATTAAAACATGCAAACTGAGTTTTACTTAGCATAGTTGTTGTGCTCAATCAGCTTGCTTTTGATGTTATTTAATTATAATTGTTAATCAGGATTTTTATAATTACTAAGAGTAAAACAACTGATGCTGAAGCTGAGGTATGATTGCAGGGCTGGGATTGCATTTATTCAGTGCGGACTTAAATGCTATGATTTTAGCAGCAGTTCTGGGTCAGAGAATGAGGTAGAAAATTATAGAAAACCACACGGTTTTGCCTTCAACAAAGCTCTCCTTTGACCTTTTGTACAACTGAAAATAAAAGATCAAAGAAGAGGCAAAAAAAAGAAACATGAAGCTGTTTAAAATGGTTCTACATTGTTGAGACGGACACACACACGCTAACACACACTTGCACAAAGGTGGAGATCACAGGAGACTGACCTTTACCGGTTTTGTCGTGACTCACTCTGGCTGAGCGAGCGCGCAGGCATGTGTGCAGGTGTGTACATGTGTGTACATGTGTGTACATGTGTGCACATGTGTGCGCGTTTGTCAGGGGATCAAACAATATCTGTGCATGAGAGATAATGAGACTTTAAAAAAAAGTAATACTGCAAACACTGCAGAAATTTTGTGTTATCTGTACTCCTAATCTAGTCTGCTTACATATGGTTTTGTGTATGTATGTTGTTAAAAGGACTGATGGGGAAGAGTCTTAATGATCTGAATGCTAGAGGAGCTGCTAAGAGTTTATCTTTCTCCCAGTAGGCACCCACTCAACAAACTGTAATTAGTGAGTGTGTCTGCGCACACATGTACACAACATATAAACAAATCCAGCTTTTAAAATTCAGCCATTTTCATCGTACTACTGAAAAACACAGCAGTTACCCAAATAAAGAAACACTATCTTTTGTTTTGCTTCGCTGCATGCATTACGCACTCTCTAATCCAAGTTGTATTAGCGTTTGCCTTCAAATGCCTCATTGTAAGTGGAGTGTACGAATGCTCATGGTCCTCAGAACTGTAGGAGCAGGTCTGCCATGCAAACAGCAAACTGCTGTGCTGACCATCCCTCACTCTCCTTTGATTAGATTCAAAACAGCACTTAGCCCTGCTGTGCTGTTCCACGCATAACAAATGACATCTCTCCAAAACCTCATTGAGTCTAATTTTCCAACCTGCCATGAAAAAATATCCAACTCTGACTCACAAAATGATAAGAAGCTGATTGTTGCCAACACAACAGAAATGTAAACATGTTATTTCCCATAAATAACTGCAGGCAAACACCTGTTACACCAATCCGAAGAAAGGATGCATCATTAAGAGGTGGTGATTGATGCTGTTTGTTTACAGCTATAAAGCTGCAAAAATAACACATTTAATTCTTTAAAGTCATACTTCTCAATACTGCATGTGTATGTTTATAGTATCATGACTATGCACATGGTATCACATGACTGAGAACACTGTTTTATCATCATTTAGACCCTTTCACTCTCTCTCTGATAAATAAATACCCTACGGAGCGAAGACTAATGAATGTGTTCAGGCTGTTAGCAGCCTGATATGTTTTGGGGGAGTCAGTAGAGATCAAAACAAACCAAAGGGGCAGCAAATAGTGACCATGTGGATAAATAGAGCTTCGGAATATGTAAATTGGAAAATGTTTGCTAACCTCTTACCCATAACACATTTAAAAGTAGAGTTCAAAGTATTTAAAGGTGTACTTACAGACTTCCAGCTTTAACTTACAGGGTTTCACATATATTTTGTTTTATATGTTTAAAAATTGCAGCCACTTTTATACTGGGGGCTGTTTTTCAGAGGCACAGTTGGGAAACAGATCAGAGCTGAGTCCTTGGTGTTTTATTGCAAATAAGCAGAGAAAAGCTCTGGAGTTGGTTTGCCTTTGACAACTTTTCACTAGAGCTTTCACTATAAGATCAAAGACGTGTTGATTCAAGTAAGAGAGTTTATCAGATAGCAACAAGGAGAAGTAAAAATCAAAAGTCTGGTCCATTCTGATTATCAGCTCAGCAACACCAAAAGGCCTTAAAGGATCAGAGCCACTTCGACGGGACAAGACTCAGCTGTTCATCTGCATCGTAAAGACAATGGTCAATCATTTATGGACGCCAGTGTTCACAGTTTGGACAGAGAAGACAAGTGGTTTGAAAGAGGAGTGAAAGAAGCCATCTGTGTCCACTGTGAATGACCATCTTTGAACAGAGGGCTGGTTTACGACACCAACTGTCTGCCGTCTATAATCCAGTTTTGAGATCCCCTCCCAGATGCCTTAACGCCCACTCACATCCTGCGCCATTTGACCTCAGTAAATCACATGACAGGTTAGGGTTTCACAATGGGTTTACCTGAAACCTTGGATGATTGTGACCCACACCCTGATTGTGACTTTTGCATGTGTGATTAGACACTCCCATTGGGCTTAAAATCTGGGACTGTCCACCAATTGCTCTTAGAACTGAAGAAGCTTCTTGGATGAGAGGTGAAACATCTGCAAGAAATTTCCAGATGCATTTCTTTCCAAGCGCTCTAGGCTACGATGACCTGGATGACTGAGAACCTTCACAAACAGACAGAATTGTTGTGAAGAAAAACAACTGCACAACATCTAACCAAGTAAAAAACAATCTCAAAGAGGTAAATGTAACATTGTCAGGGTCAATCAACTGATACCTTCATAATAGAGGAAACTACAGCAGGTTAACAAAACAGTACAAACCACTGGTTACACCGAAGAACAGCATGGCTAGATTAGACTTCACCTGAATAAAAGTGTCTTCACAGTTCTGTAAAAATTATTTGGACCAATTAAACCAAGATGAACTTGTACCAAAATAATGGGAAGAGAAAATTATGCAGAAGGAGAGAAACGGCTTATGATATGAAGCATATCACATCATCTGTCAAACATGATGTCTGATCTACATGATGTTATAGTATTTGGATGTATTGCTGCCAGTGGAACTGGGTCCCTGGTGTTCATTGATGATGTGACTGCTTGCAGAAGCACGATGAACTCTAAAGTGTACAGCGCTAATCTCTCTGCTCAGATTTAACCAAATATGGACAGTACACAGCCTGTGTAATATGTGATGACTGGATGAATAAACAAATATCAATCAAACATCAATAATGACCCAAAGTGTGGTGCAAAAGCAATCCAACAGTTTTTCAAGGGATATTCTTCAATGACCAAGATAGTCACCTGATATCAACCCAACAGAGAAGCTTTCAGTGACTGAAGACAAAACTGAAAGAGAGACCCACGCATCTAAACTAAAGGTGGCTGCATTAAAGGGCCAGCAGAGCAGCCATTGACAGCAAACAATTTTCATCCAAGGATTAAAATCTTTATATTTAGAACACAAATATATTAGTTTCTCCAGTTATTTTTGAACCTCTGAAAATGAAGTCCGGTTATAAAACTGGTAATTCTTTTTTGCAAAACCTCTTGAATTAAAGCGCACAATCAGAATGTCAGTGTACAGAGGCAAAACAACAACAAAAGAGTTTTTGTCCAACAAATGATGGATCTAACTGTATATCAGTGTTGACACACACATACCAGCAGTTCAGTTCCTATTAAATCACTTCCTGTCATTTTCTGTGCCGTCACCTCCTGTTTAGATTTTTGCTTCTTTGTGAACACGGATCCTGGATCCAAAGAGCCAAAAAAAGATTTATTCAAATAAAAATGACTGATCTCAGATAGAAGCAAATATATGAACTACCCACATTTGCAGCTTTCTCAACTGAGTCAAGTTGGGTTTATCTTACAGTATATCATCCACCTGCATTTACAGTTACCACATCAAGGCATTTGCCCATACCACAAGTATGTCAACAACATTAATAAAATATTAGCTGAAAGCTTTTGTTCATGGACATAATTCTCCATTTAAATCATGACATAAACAAAGAATGAGTTGTATCATTGTTAAATGTTAAGTGGAAGAATTCACTTTTCACTTTGTAGAAACATTCTGTCGTTAAACTCGACTCGGGTTAAGCTCTCCATCCTACATTTAACTCGACGTCGACTGACACATTGCTGACATCAGTCTAGTGTGGTGGATCAAACACAGCTAACAGGGATTCTTTTATTAAATAAGTTAATAAGAAGACCAAAGGTTTGACATCTGCTTCTTTCTTCTCCTCTCTTTCCAGCAGCACTGTTGTGTAATCTTTTCTAAATGAATGATCTCGTGGGCATCTTTTAATTAGCAGAGGAGGTCTGGGCGTCGAGTGACTCCCGGCTGGCATGTGAAACGTGTCACAGCTCTCCTCGTTCGGCCCTCCTTCACCATGCCTCCTACTCTAACTTGTCCTCCTCTAATCGCCTTGATTGACAGGATTATCAGGAGTCCACCCACTTGGAGCAGTTTGTGACCCGCTTCTTGCTGAAGGAGACAACCAATCAGCTTCATTCACTTCAAAGCTCACTCGAGTGTGCCATGGAAACCACAGCTGAGCAGACTCGCCAGGAGAAGTAAGAACAAACCTCCCCTGGTCATTCACACACGCACACAATTAGTCTTTCAAACTTGGGCAGAATATATTGTACAATAGCACCAATAATTACAGCTCTCACTTTTTTTTTTAAACCACACACACCAGTTTGCCTCCCACATTTTAGACTTGATGCCAGCATAGGTTCTTCTTAAGTGTTTGTGAAACACACCTGCTTTCTGTTGCAATCCAGCAGTTATTTGTCCTAATTTATCTGATTAACTCGTTCTCCATGAAGGAATATCTGAGAGAACTGAAGCACAGTGCTGGTATGAGCTAAAACATCTATTGCAGTTCTCTTTTGCATTTTAGAATCTTTCAGCTCTTTCTCTTTCTTTTTGCACAGACAAGGTGCCAAATGTTGCGTTAACAAATGGTGCCAGATCAGTCAGTGCAGTGTAAAATACAATACAATATATATAAAAATATTTATAAATATTTCAGTTCGGTTCAGTTCAATTCAATTCTATTTTATTTATATAGTGCCAAATCACAACAACACCTCAAGGTGGTTAATATTTTAAGGTAAAGATCCTACAATAGTACAGAGAAACCCCAAAAATCAAACAAACCCCTTTAAGCGAGCACTTGGTAACAGTGGAAAAGAAAAACTCCCTCTTAACAGGAAGAAACCGCCAGCGGTAAGGGCAGGAATGCAGAACAAAAAGCAAGCTGTGAAATATAACCAGAGATTAATAATGACTAATGATTAAATGTAGAATGGCATAAAAAAAACACTGAGTGAAATCTAATTTGATATGATTTAATATACCGAACATATATCAAATGTTTAAGTTCAGATATTTTACTGATTCATGAAGAATATTTGCTCATTTTGAATTTCATGCTAACAACACATCTAAGAAAACTGAGACAAGAGCAACAAAAGGCTGGAAAAGTAAAGCCTTGCTCCCTGTGCACAGGGAACAAGGCCAGGGATGAATATTTGATGCCTGCGATCTTCAGGTCTTTGGGTAGTATTGTATTAAAGAAAGACGTTATTCATTGAAATCACTGCATGGGAACAGAATAATCCGTTTCTGAGGAAAAGTTCAAATTCTTCTTGAAAAATGTTGGACACTACATCCCTTGGACTAAAGTAGAGAGGCACTATCCAGCATCAATGCTCAGCTCAAAAGCCTGCATCTCTGATAGTCTGAAGGTACATTACAGTGCCTGTGAAATTGGAAGCTTACACATCTGGATTTGGCTTTAAAGCAACATATGCAGCATATAACATCCAGATGATTTTTCAGGGAGGGCCTTGCATATTTCAGCAGGAAGATTCTAAACTGCATACTGCATTTATTGCAATAGCATGGCTTCGAAGTACAAGAGTGATGAACTGGCCTGCCTGCAGTCCAGACCTCTCACCAACTGAAACATTTGGAACATCATAAAACAAAACATATGTTAAGCAGCTAGACTCTTCTATCAGGCAAGAATGGGACAACCTCTCCCAAATATCCAGCAGCTGCTCTCCTCAGTTCCCAGATGTTTACAGGCTGCTGAAGAAAGTAGGAGGGATGCTACATAGTGGTAAACATGGCCCTGAAAAAACATTTTTGAGACATATTCCTGCCTTTAATTTAAAAGTGAGCTAGTATTTTTCTTAAACTGGTAGACTTTCTGAGTTTAAATATTTGATACGTTTTCTGTTGTGAATGAAATATGGGTTTATGAGGTTTGGGAATCACTGCTTTTATTAACAGTCTATACAGCATTGTTTTTCAGAATCAGGGTTGTTGGATTTCTGCTGCTGTGTTGTCACAACTGTTGTGCAATGTGCAAAAATGGCAGTTTGTTTTTACTACTGCAAGCCATGTTTATGAATACTAGAATGTTAAAAATATGACCTTAATGTGGTCATGATCTTATTATTATAATTTTTATAAATGCACTGACTGCTAATGAATACTCGCCTCTGAGCGTGAAAAGTGAAGGAGTGATGATTCAACCCGAGGCTCATGTTCTTAGTGGACTCTGTTTCCCGCATGTGCTCAAAGTATTTGATCAGTCTGGATCTGCGTTCAGGAATCAGACATGCCTCATTAGTGAGGATGACTCACCAGCGTGCAACATATTATATATGGTGTGAGTGTGGATGTAGATGGGTGTCCCCTGCAGGTCATGTCTGTGTTCATTATAATCCTGGTGTGTTTAAAGCACAGGTAATGATGCACCTGTCACCGATCTCAGATCAACAATTGAGCAACAATTTGCTGCCATTTGCAACCAAACCTGCATTCAACAGATTCTGAAATCGAACTGTTACTAAATAATACATTTGTTTTGTTTTGTCTTTTTATTCCAGGCTGTCCTTGTTTTGTGTTTCTCTAATTGCTCTTCGGTCTCTGCGGAGGAAACATATTGCTGAAAACACTCCATTGCAAACTCTTGCTGTGTTTCTAATTAAGTGCTTATTGGATGCTGGATTTTGGTATTCCAAACACATTAATCGCAGTCCTTAAGTCCTTTTGTTTTTTTCTTGCCACCTTAATCTTTATGCAGCAAAGGTTGAAGCTCAGTGGAGAGCAGCTGGTATCTTTGACAAACATGTGACGCTCCAGCACTGAGAGGCTTTGGAGTGCAGTACAGGAACAATGTTAATTATTGTTATGCCTTCTGCTGGAAATCATACAGAATTTTCCTTGACATTTGTGATCAGATTCAGAAAGAATGACACAAGTGATTCCAAAATCAAAATTTTTATTTATGCTCATTTTTGACCCTCAGGGCAGAAAACATGGACACCTAGTACAGTAACTCAAAAGTGAGGCGAAGTAGGGTTTTAAAGTTCATACCATGGATGCAGCTACTAAGAATCTCTGATGCAAAAACCCCAACACAGGACCTGAGAAATGCATCTGTAGCTCCATCCACTGTTCACTGAAGCCTCATCAGAAACGATCTCAGTGGAAGGGTGGCTGACTATAATATGCTTAAGGAACAAAACAAGGAGAAAAGGCAGAGCTATGCCAAATTACACAGAAACTAAACAGAAAATCAGAAGCAACCAGTCTGATGGAGTGATGAATCTAAATTTGGAATTTTTCGTTCAAGTTATCATCAGCTTGTACGGAGGAGGTCAGGCAAGAGGCACAGCAGTGCACGTCTACAGCCATCTGTAAAGCATGATGGAGGCTCTGTCATTGTTCAGGGTTGCATTTCAGCTGGTGGTGGTGGTGCACAGAAGTGCAACCAGATTTTAAACAAAAATCCTACAGCATCTGGAAAAGATCTGATTTGCAACAGGTTATTTTTCTGTATGGCAACGATCCCAAACAGACTACCAATGCAGCCAAAGGAAACCTTGATAGAAAAACAATGGAACTTTATCACTCATGGATTGTCCTCCACAGAGTCTGGAGCTCAACATTACTGAAGCAGTGTGGGATCATCTAAAGGCAGCAAGCATCCAAAGAAGAGCTTTGAATGTCCTTCAATAAGCCTGGATAACTATTCATAAGGACTACAAATTACCAGAAACCTCCCAAAGAGTTTGTGCTGTGTTGGAAAATGAAGGTGGTCTAATACCCAATAGTGACTTTGAACTGATGAGAGGTTGAACATTTAAAAAAAAACAAAAAACTTCAAAGTCCAGTCACTTTTCTTTCCAAGCTCCAATTATTGACTTCCAAGCTCATTAGAACTGCACAGTCTCTGCTTTTGCCTTATATGCTGCATTTCCACGTATGTTTGCACATGTTTCAAGAGCTCACTAAACCAATTTTCCCATTTTTCATCTCAGAAATAAAAATAGGAAACAGTAGAGAAATGAGGGGTGGCTTCAGTCTACTACTTTAGCCACATTATGTCTCTTATGTTTTCCCACGTTACATCTGCAGCTATCGAAATCGCAACCAAAGATCCAAATCCCCATCAAATCATTTTACTTCCAGTTATATATTTGGGTTGATACAGTTTTGCTTTCCATAATATTTTGTTTCACACAGTAATTATGTTGACATTTATTCTCATGGGCAGAAAATGATGCGCTGGGATAAACAACCTTTAAATTAAGGAGACCTTCACAGACCGTCTTCCTTCCAAATGCATCGTTCTTTCACTCTCACGTCATTTCAAAGTGTGACTGTCGCTCGCTCCCCAAGCAGCTTCTCCTCTTCCTGCAGCCGTCTCACTGGAGAAATTGCCTTGTGCTTTTGAATTGCTCTGTCCTTCCAAACATTCGGAGATGTGGTTCTCTCTGGTGGTTTAAAATAGGTTTTTGTATTCAGTTGTAGGTATATGTGAATAGGCTATGATGGTATTACTCAGAACTGAGCTTGGGCCATAACAATGGCTCAAGAGCTTTATGTTTCCTATTGGGTTAGCATTATCTTCTTCATCATCCTCTCTGGAAAAAGATGAGCATTGAGATCGCACTTTGCTCTCCAGCTTCGAAACCTCTTTTCCCTCCTCCTCAGTTGGCATAAAAACTGTAGGAGGAACATGTGGATGGGGAAGCTGTTGTGCTTTGATCTGTTAGATATCTCTGAAAGTTTTAGCAATTAAAGCAGCGATGTAGGTGAGATTGTGACTCACTGGCAGATCAAAAGGGATCTGCCCCTCCCAATTTGTCCTCATCAAGTCTCAGTGGTATAGATGTATTAGACAACAGCTTGTGAATTAAAAACTGTGCTATGTCCCACCACTCTCTTCCCAACAAGAGCAGATCAAGCTGAAGAAAACCTGGTTGTTTCAAAAGTCATTACATTAAGACTGAAATGAGTGCACTCCTGAATACTGCACAGTTACAGTTGAAAATTTTTTTTTCGATCACACAGTCTTGAAAAACAAGTGTATCCCATGTAAAATGTTTTCTGTGTGACTTTTTAAAAATCAAAGTAAACGTTTAAACATGTTTGAAAGAACAGATTCAGTCTTCTTTTGAATTAAAGAAGAATAAGGAAGAAAATAGCTTAATAGACTGGTGAAGAAGGCCAGATGTGTCCAGGCCAGCCCCGTAGACTCTGTAAAGGAGGTAGGTGAGAGGAGGATGTTAGCCAAGCTCATACCCATTATGGGTAACACCTCTCACCCCTGCATGAGACTGGAGGCCCTGAGCAGCTCCTTCAGCAATAAGCTGTTACGGCCACCGTGTAGGATGGTGCTAAAATATACATGTATGTCTGTGTATACCACTCCCACTGTTTATTTTTCCTTTTTTATTTTTCTATTATTTCCTTAATTCACTTTTTCCTTCCTGCTGCTGTAATAAGTGAAGGGTTTGTTTAAGGGGGGTTTACATCTAGAGTATAAGTTGGTCTTATACCTCAAATTGCTTCCATTTTAGCAGTAATAATGTTTTACCGTGTTTTGCTGTTCATCTGCCATCAGTCTCCAACATCAGCTTCCTGAAATTTTTGTTCATTCTCCCTTATAAAACTTCAGTTTCAAAGGCTTTGTTGGTTTTCTTGCTATTAAACACAACTGCAGATGAAGAAAAACACGTGATTACAGCATGCCATCATTTGTTTAACAAAAGTAAAGCAGAATACAGAAGCAATAACGTACTGTAAGCAATCATTTCTTGTTTGGCTGGGTTTGTAGTTACTCTGATAATTGCATGCTCTGGTTACACAGGACCTTTTTTTCCATGTGACTGTATCTGGTAATAGTCCTGGAGCTGAAAAAGAAGTGAGCATGTAGGGTATTTAAAATGTAGAACGAGTTCAAAATAGAATTATGACATGCTATGTACACACGCACATGCATGCACGCGGGCGCAAACGCACACATGCACACAATCATGCATGTTCACACGCAGCCTGCTCACAGACACCCTGAGGTCCCTTCAAAGTATGGGAACCAACAACTTGACAGCAGTAAGATAAATCTTAGGTGAAGACACCCTGTAGGTGCACATACCTTGTCACTGCCATTAGTATCACTGTCAGACCAGCATTACATAGAAATGTAAAGCAAGTCAAGACAACTGTGGCTCCAGACACCTGATTCTCATCACAGATTGTAAGAAATAGAAGAAAAAAACAAATAATTTAACTGTAATTTTGTGATCACCACATACGACATGTGCTGAAAGAGCATGTGTACTTTACAGAGGGCTGTGATGCAGTGTTTCCTTCAGCGATTTGACATTTTTTTAAGAAAAACATAAAGAAAGTAAAAATGTATGCTGAAATATGAAAGGCTTAGGATATTTACTGGCCTGTTTTGGTTCAAGACAGGGTCCTGTGAAGCCAGAGGTGTTGTCCATCCAGTGGTCGGGTCGTCGCTCTAATCGGAGGCTTCAGAGAAACAACAGCCTCTCCCCCAACAACCCTCTCTTTAGCCTCGTCAGTTCAGGTGGGGTTTTTTTTTTAAATGTTTTTTATGTTTAAATAACTTTCCATCACCATGTTGTGTTGCGTTATGTTTGACTGTGATTCATTCCTTGGGTTATCCTGCCTTGTTTCTGCCAGAAGCACAGGAGGGGAAGGAAGGTCATGTAGGTGTGAGAGAAACAGTGCAGTGAGACACACAGAGGGAGCTTGAGGTGGAGGAAGGCTGTGACCACATGTGTTTCTATGTTTAGTTTCAAAGCCACTTATCTGGTGCACAGGTGGAGGTTTGAGGTTGCACATATTTGGAGGTCAGTGGCAAGTCTCAATGCAGTACCTGCAGAGCGCACTGTAATTGGCTGTCCTGTTGTTGGCTCTGCAGCTAAAACATACTAACATTAGCACCCCTGCTAATGTCAGTTTAGCAGGGGTGCAGGGTCAAATTAGGGGTCAGCTATTGACTTTGATTACATCTACAAAGCTTTTTTTATGTTTACGTAGTCACTGTCAATTATAGTGAGAAAAAATGGCTTCTTAATGGCTGCTTATTTCTATAATCTGAGTTACTTCTTTTGTTTAGCTGTTCCTGGAGTTGTTTTGCCATCACCTGCAATTTCTTCATTTTTTTAGTTTACATCTAGATTTTACTTAACTGTCATAAAACCTGATTCAAATTAAATAAATATGAAATCTAGGTATGATTTTTATAATATTTCTGCTTAGAATCCTGATAAATATTCCTTTATCTATGACAGTTACATGTTTCCAGTGGTTTTTATTTTCATTGTTATACGTTTTTAACCGTCGACCTGGATTATAGCGCCAGATGTGGTTGCTAGGAGATCTGCAAAAAAACGACAGAGCATGTAGGAACTTCGATTACAGTGGTCAAAGCTTTTCTCATTGATTGGCCTGGTTTCTTGTCGCATGACATGAAAGGGATCCTTTAAATGCCTCCTGGCACACCGCCACCCCTTACAACAGCGACTGTTGAGGCAGTCAATGGAAAGTGTTTAAAATACAGTCGATGTATGCAGCACCTTTCATCCCCACCTTTCTGACTGAAATCCATCCTTCTCTCTGCTTCTCTCTCCCCTCCAGGTGTTTATGATGAAGACAGCCAGTGGATAATCCAGGTCAACAGACTGCAGAAACTTATCGACCGCCTAGAACAAAAGGTTACTTGACCTTTCGCTCAGCCTTTCCAGTCTCCTCTCCTTCCTACCTTCTTCTTGTGGGTCTCTTTCTGACATTTCCTGTTTCGCATCTTTCTCCTGTCTCTGTTTCAACCATCTGAGCTTTGCATCATTTTCTGAAACTAACCTGAGATTATGGCAAGTGGATTTAAAACTGTGTCAACATATTCACTCGTCCAACAACACCCACCCACATGCAGACACATGCACATATGTACGTATAGAGGCAGCACCAGCTGCACACAAACCATCATGGCTGCTCTCTGCATGAAATGTGGTGTAAAAAGTAGATAAAATAAATTGACACGCAAACCCAGAAAAGCTGTGATCTGTTTACATTACAAGTGCAAGACTGTGAACAACTGCAAGCATAAATATGAATAATATAAATATCTGAAATTTAAACCCCAGTTGACTCTAAATGCTCATTTTTTTCAAAGCATTATTATGATTAATGCTTTTAGGAATCTAATAGAATATCCTTATTTCAATATTTAATGTCTCTCTTTGTATTTTTAATCATCCTTTTATACGTTTTGAATTATTTTATGAAGATTTCAATTTTTTATTTTCAGTTTTGGTTTATATATTTTAATTTTTAAAAATGTATCGATATAGTAATGTTGTTTTAATTGAATGCATTTATTAATTTATTTATTATGTAGTTATACTCATACATGGTAACCACAAGGACTCAGAAGATAAATCTTAGAGCTCATGAGATCATTACCAAAAAAAGAGCTCTACTAAAACAAAACAAAAACAAAAAAAAACAACTGGTTTGTCTGGATATTTCTTTCTTTGTTCTGTTCTGCAACTTGTTTGTGTTGCCAACAGCTGGAAAAATCAGTCACTGCAGGTTTTATGGTGACTTGATTTTCTCTTTTTCAGCTGCTGGAGTATCTTTGAGTGGCTTAGTATAATTCAGAGTTTATATATAATATAATTCATTATTCATATTTCTCATCTTCTGTCTGCACCAACCCATTTTATCTTCTTCTTCTCAAGACAGCTTTCTTGTGATTGGGTTGGGCTTCTATGCTCACACTAGACATGTAATTATATGGCCTTAGATGGTCATAGAAAGATATTTGCCTTCATAAACTCGTACAGAAACAAGGAGCAGAGAAGGCTTCCTGGAACTGAGCATTTAGAGCTGTTTGCAGTTTTTTGCTCATGGTAGTAACAGCTCATATATGTGACAATAAATCTGTAAAAGCATACCAATGGGCCGTGTAATACTTGTAAATAAAGACTGTGAATGACGGGTTATACACTGAGATAAATGAAAATGAGTCACTGGTAAAGGACTCATCACTTCCTTTTGTTCCACAGGAGATCCGTCTGGAGCCCGTTGAAGAAGAGGTCTTGGAGAGCAAATCGGTTTGTTTTTCCTTACTTATCTACTGTTCACCTGTTTTTCCACAGTGACCACTTCACTGTTCTCACATGGAGGCCAGTCAGTGTTGTCATAGCAACAGCAGGGTTTAAAGTTGCTCTGTCTGTCTTTATCCTCCATCTGTTTGTTTAGGGCTCAATATTCAGTTAGAGTAGGGAGCAGACATTAAGGTGCGAGGACGTGTGAGCTAGGGAGTCGACAGTGCCTCTGTGTTCTTGTACTGTTTCTGCAAAAACCCATAGAATACTGGCCCTGTGAATAATACAGGACCAGCAGTAGGAAAAAATATGAACAATACATCATCACTTATTTTTATGCTGGAGCCAAACTCTGATGTTTTGCCTGCATCAAAAAGCGCAGTCTAGATGTGGAAAAGTGTATCCTCTTTCTCTTAACCAGGTCTAAAAATCTCTAAAAACAGAAGTTTTGGCATTTTGCTGTATGCAGGTGTGATGACACAATGTCAAGGAGCAAAGACATCAGCAATGATCGTAGAGAAGCAACTGTTGCTTCCCATCAATCTGGAAAAAGACATTTCCAAACTATTTATTTTACAGTAAGAAAGAAGAGAAAATCATTCAAAGACAGCTCTTCCTGGGAGTGGAAGTCCCAACAAATTCAGCCCAAGGTCCAAACCACTGAATCCTCAGAGAAACTACCAAAACCCAAGTGCTACGGCTCAGACCTGCAAGCCTCAGTTAGCATGTTATATGTAAAAGTTCATGACAGTACGATTAGAAAAAGACTGAACAAGGATTCGGATATTTTCCTGGAGAAAGGTTCTTCTCTCTAAAAAGAACATGGCAGTACAGATTAGATTTGCAGAGTTTCTCCTGAACAAACCACAAACCTCCTGTAACAATGGCCTTTGGACTGGTGAGACCAAACTTTGGATAAAACCAAACACACCATATTAGCACAACACCTCATCCTGTCAAGCATGGTGGTAGAGAGGTGATAACTTTGATGACAGCCACAGGACCTGGGCACCTTGCAGTCACTGAATCAACCATGAACTCCTCTGTATACCAAAGTATCCTAGAGACAAATGTGAGCAGCAGCAAATTGACAACAGAAAGACTGAAAAAGGAAAGAATCAAGGTGTTGCAATGATCCAGTCAAAGTCCAGACCTCAACCTGGTTAAAATCCTGTGGTGGAACTTGAGGAGAGCCATGCATAAATAAATGGATAGAAATCTCAATAAACTGAACCAGCATCGTTAAGAAGCGAGGCTTGGATTAGCTTTTGCTAAATAAATCATGTCATGCTGCAATATGTCTTAATGTCACGTGCTGTTGTTCACCTGACGTTATATTACATAATTTTAGAACCATTTTGTATTATGTCTTCATTCGTTAAAGCTTTGAGCTGGTTGAAGGTGTACTTTCTTCTTCACGTGACTGCATTAGGGTCATTACTCCTCGTGCTTGCAGATAAACGTGGGTGAGTAAAACTTAAAAATATTGGACTAAAGTAGAAAAAAGTCCCAGAAGGAAAATGGCAGTCAGGCACAACAATGTCATTTAGGTTGATTAAAAGTGATATACACACACTTCCTCCTTCACAGATATTTTGATGTATCATAGATGATTGTCTTCATCGCATCACATACCCACTGTACTGTGATTACTTTTTGATTCCCACCATTGCAGGAGGACATGCATTTCTTTTTACCCAAAGTGTAAAACTTCTACTGACAAACAAAATGTTTTCCAGGTTTGTGTTTGTGTCGCTGAATGTGCCGGTTTGTGTGTGTGTGTGTGTGTGTGTGTGTGTGTGTGTGTGTGTGTGTGTGTGTGTCCACATGCCAAAGGAAACAGTAACTGCTGTTGCAGTCTGAGCTGCCTGGCACTCATTTCATGGCTGAAATGATGACTCACTGACTATCACATCAACACCAGCACTAACAGGATTTCTCTTTAGTTTCTTCCATCATGAAAATCTCAGCAGCATAGCCAACATCTAATATTTTATATTTTTCATGCATTAGTTTCAACGTTTTAATGCAAAAGCAATTGCAATCATTATTTTGGGAAATAGCTATTTTATATTTTAACACCTTACTGCCACTTAACCCTTGTCGATATAAAACAGATACATTTATCTTGTCTAACGGCTGAGAGAAGCACATGAAACATGTTTAACATGAGAACCCGTCATTGCATGTAGGGTTTTTTAGACATCTCTGGAGGTCCGTGATGTGACACATTCACGTATGTCAAATATGAAATTGTGGGGGAAAAAAACAAAACAATCTCACGTTAGTTAAGATGAAGGTTTGTGACAGATAAGGGCCAAATCAAGTCCTGCAGCTAAATTATTTGCTATCCTGAGCTATCTGCAAAGGGCAGTGTTAACGAGTGAGAACTCAAAACTGTAAGTGACATGAAACCACTAAAATCTTTGTGTCATATTGATAATTTCAGTGGATAGCTCAACTAAAGTTTCTGTACCTTAGATGCTCCTTACACTTCTAATAGTTCTTGCAAGCTGTTTTTATACAGCACTGTGCAAACGTCTTTAGCTACCCCTCTCTGACTGCTTTTAGTTCTGTTCTCTGTCAGGATGATCCCACACTGCTTCAATAATGACGAGGTCCAGGCTCAATCCATCGCTAACAGTGTTACAGTATGTTTTTGTGTATCAACTTTTCTCCCTGTTTCTGTTCTTTTAGAATGCCCTTCTGATAATGGTCAGGCACAAGGAATGAACTGATTAAAGTTATTGAAAAGGCTCTCACACAAAAAAACGCTTTTAAAGACCTTCTGAAAGTCTGGATCATTGTTTGTTAAGACCACTTTTAGAAATTTACAAAACGTCTGGCTCCTTTGAAGATAAATATAAAAAATAAGAGGTTGTTTGAGACTTTTGTACAGTACTATATGTGCCCAAACAAGAAGAAAGTGGGATTTAAATAGTTTGTTTCAGAGAGAAGACGCCTGAGGAGCATCAGTGAGGCTATTTTATAACACAATATGTGTGCGTTATGTTTATGGAATGATTTGTGTTTGTATCCTACTGCAGAGGCAGCTCCAAATGAAGGTATGCATATGAATGTTTCATGCTACTGTCATTCTCATTACTAATTTGATGCAGACATATCTTTGTGTGTGAATTAATCAATATGTAATTTTGTTTAATTTGCTGTGTGTCACTGGGAATAAATGGGCTGCTGAGTAATCCAATAATGACCCACAACACAAGACTGATGTGTGTTTGTGTGCGTTAACATGCCTGAGTGGATGCGTCCCTGAGTGTGTGCATGCGTGCGAGGGTGACTTTCTCCCAAATTAGCCACTGAGAGAGCAAAAGTGTGCGCATTTCATCAGACACACCCATACACATATATACACACACCCGCAGTCGTGTTTCAGTCATTTCAAAAGACATTATATTGACTTACCTTCATTTCCTAGAGTCTCACCCTCATTAACACACACTGCCTGCTTTATAGCCAACAGGGAGACCATTCACTTCCTGTTCCAATCATCTGCTCTGCTGCTGTTAACAATTCCTCATCAGCCACAGGAAATGATTAGCAGGTTTTCTACAGTCATGGGTACACCAGCTTCCCCCCCCTGCTGTTCACACCTTTGAACAAGATGTCTGTACATGCTTCCTCTAAATGTGTATTCGGGGTCATATTCTGGTCTCTGAGCAAATGTGTTGGCACATTTATTCAGAAGCTGATGCCAAGACCTTATGAGACATGATCATTTTTCACTTTACACTTCTGCGTGAGTCACAATGCACTGAGCAAATTCAAAATCCTGCCAGATTTCCAAACACCTCAGCTCAAACGGCCTCTCAACATACGAGAAGCAGCCTCTGTCTGTCTGACGTCTGTGCGCCTTTAAATGTTGTGTTTGCGTCTTGTCTCTGCAGCACATCCTAATAGTTCAGAGGCAGCTCTCGGTGCTGGAGGAAGAGCTGGAGGAGTTTCGCTTGGCTCTCAGACAGTACATGGAGTGCGCCTGTGCCCAGACTGGATGTTTGCAGTCAGTTTATATTCTCTTTGTTCATTTGTGTCAGGGATTTACTGCTTTTATTTTTATCCTTTCTATTTTTCACATTTTTGTAAAGGCTTGATTAAGACGGGCAGACAGACAGGTCTTGTGAAGCTGCCCTAACCTGAGACTAAAAATATTTCAGCTGCTTTTCTGGCATTAGAAACTATTTTTAACATATTGCTTGCATTTCTAATGAATTATGCAGCTTAAGGAACAGAAATCATAACGCACGTGTTTTAATAAGATTCCACTGAAATGCTGCATAAGCAAAACTAAACATCTTCTAGCAGTGAAGGAAACAAAGTCACACTCTGATATAAAGACAAGAGCCTCACCTTTGACCTTTTGATAATTATGTCAACTCGTGGACCAATTAGAAGAATGAAGATGATCTTCAATTCCAATATACATTAAATGCCCACTTTATTAGGGACACATGTTCAACCGGTCCTTAATGCAGTTCTGGACTGGTTTTCATGTAGCGCTTCTCTACTCAAGCAAATAAGGCGTTTTCTACAACATGTCCCATTCACCCATTCACACACACATTCCAACCCACTATCATGGCAAAGCATGTAATAGACAGTGTGTCCATTTCCCCCTTTGCTTCAAAGTGTGAAATGCACATGCATGAAGAAGTTGCAATAAGCTGCAGTACCAGCAGAGGGAGATAAATTATTTCAACCCAACATGAAAATAATCACAGGAAAGTGTTCAAACAGACACTGATATGTAAATACGTATTAGCCACCTAGCGTAAAATCTTTCTAGCATAAAAAGACCCTGGAATATACTGCCTCATACCTGCCTCAGTCACTTAATGACTTATTGGCCTTAAATGTATTATGTCCCTCTGATGGAACTGCAGAGGGAGATACTATTATTTATATTATTTCATTTTACACCACTGTTAATGGGAAAGCCAGGAATGACACCTGTCCTCCACAAAAGCCTGAGCAGGCTTACTGCAACAAGCAAGAATAACTTGCGGCAACTTCTTCTAAACAGTAAAAATTAATACTTACTTGCACATGCAAAACAGAAAGGTCAGATATTTGTTTAAAGGAAGATTAGTTAGAGTTATGAAGAAGGCCGAAACATATTCTTTATACGTCGAACTGTATGATTTGAACCTTTAATTTAAAAAAGTAATTTATTAAATCACTAGAGAAATATGAACATTGCTAAACTATTAATAAGCTACTCACCACTCCCCAATACTACACAGCATCCTTTGTGGCCTATATCATATGTGTATTAGATTAGATTAGATTAGATTAGATAGAACTTTATTAATCCCTGGGTTCCTCTGGGAAATTCGATTTCCAAAAAAGCACAGCACCGACAGAAGTTACAGAGTTACAGTTACAGTTACTACTACAGTGTAGTAGTGAAATTTAAGCTTGACTAGTGACTTAAATCTATATCAAATTAAATACATATGGCTGGTTTGAGCCATTGTCCTCCTAATAGGAGTAAAGAATCAGTCTTCTGTCATAGCTCAGGACATTTTGTGAATTCAACTGTTGTGTGCGATCACAACAAAGCAGATAAAATAACATTTGCATTTCTGCCTGCCAAAACCTCCCAAAAATCTGAAGCTCTGTCACCCGAGTCGCTCCGTGAGTAAATTCAGCAGGACAAAACAAATTGCTCTCACATACTGTCACTCTGGTTTTAGACTAATCCCAGCAGCCTAAAGGACAGCTTGACATTTATATGCTTTGTTTATGATTGCTTCTCTAAATACTCAGTCATGTTTCAGGCTCATTTTTAAGTTAAACTGTGATTAATAAAAGACTAGCCTGCTGCATGAAGCCTCAACGTCAGGACGAAACCACACAGTGTTTTTGACAGACCCACAATACCCGCATGCTGTCAGAGTGTAGGACACAATTCGGGCAGAGAGGCTGTGTTGGGCGATATGATGCAGCACACTAATTAGTAACTGCATGACTTGTGCGCTCTCGTGTTTTGTATTTGGCAGCATCGCAGTTCAGCGGCTGGCAAATGAATCACGCTTCATTCTCTATGAATTCTGGGAGCACAACAACGTGTGGAAGAAGTAAGTGTTCGCCTGTCACAATGTAGTTGTTACTTGAATGTATGTTTTAACATGGAATTTTTATACATATTGTTGTGTCACATCATGTATATTTATCAAAATGAATGATCCTACTTAATTTTCCCAGTTCTATATATAAAAAAAGACAGTCATTGACCCATCCCTTCCCAAACAAACAGCTTACAATCAAGCATTCCCAGTGTCAAATCACATAGCTAAATGTAATATAAAAGCACAGCGTGGGAAAGCAAATGTATAAGATCATTTTGTTCGGTTAAAATCACAAATCAAAGACAAAACCGTTGTGAATAATGCAGACCTGCCAGCATTTCAGGACTTCAGGCTGCATTTCCGCCACAGTCTGAAGAACCGTGAAGGCAAATATTGAGGCGACAGCTGTTTTTCCTTAACTGCTCCACTGAAGTCCAGCTGTTGTCACAAATGCAAAAGACTGTATAAGAAAGATTAAACCAGATAAGCGAAGGAAAGCCACTGGCTGTAGCAACAACAAGCATGGAGGAGATTTAAATAAAGTAGAATCAAAACACCTAAAACACTGGATCTGAAGTGGAGCTTCTAGGGACTTGATATTTATGAGCTCGACCGAGTGGTTAACTTGATAAAATCATATATCATGAAAGTTGGGCATAGAATTCTGCCTTAGGAAGTGAGGCCAGAGCAGAAATGCCTGCATTAACTTGATTTATTTCTAATGACCACCAGGGGGCTTCGTCTATAGCGGTCTGATTGTATAGAGGTTTCTTACATGTGCACATAGTTGTTCACATTATTGAACATTATACAACCAGATAGTAAAACACAAACCAGAAACAGATTGTTGTCCTTCAAACTAAAAGCTTTGTGTCATATTTTGAAAGGACAACTTTTACTTTTTAGGCAACAGTCCATTTCCAGTTTGTGTTGCACTTTTCACAGTTTCACTACCACCTGGAAACTGTTTCCAGACAAGCTGGTATGATTGCAGCAACCGGTGATTGCAGCAACTTGATAGTGACCAAAACAATCATAAACCAACGGGTGAAGGAATACACATTTCTGTCTCTAGGCGAGCGTGACTGATGCCTTATTCACTTGACCCAATCATGTAGTTTGTGGTTATGTATCCACAAAACTTCAATAGATGTCTGTAAGAAAATGAGCCCACTGCTCACTTGATTACCTCAGTAAACACTTTCCTAGTTTCTGATCTCAGTTGTTAGTTTCTCGTTTTTTTTTTATTGCAGATTGTTCAGCTAACTTATAACTTATAGACACATTTCCATTGCTGGAAAAACAATCCACTTTTATGGATTTTATGAATAAACCTTTATGACTGTTTATGTCTAAATTTTATTTTACCATGTTTGTTATATATACATATATTTTTTTAATGTTTTTTTTATGCTATTGTTCACATGTTGTCTATGGATGTACTGCCATGAACACTTAGCCAATGAGAAGTGTTCAGCTCTGCAAGTCCTGCCCCTAAAGATCATAAACTTTCAGGAAGTGAATCAGGTTGAGCACATTTTAAGGAATTGTTGGTATGGCAGTTGTTTAGTTGCTTTTGTGTACATGTTTACATATTTCTGTTTTTGTTTAAAGAATTTTAATTTATTGACTTTTAATAGCAAATAATTTGGAAAACTAGTGTTACGCAACCAGCTGAACTCAAAATCAATATGAGAATTATTCATTTATTTACTAGAAAGAAATTATGTAGAAAACCTGCCATGACCCCGATTTGAACCGGGGTTGCTGCGACCACAATGCAGAGTACTAACCACTATACGATCGCGGCCGCTCTGACCTGAAACCATCTTTGAGTTTTCTCTTTTCTGCTCTTCAGTCACCTACAGACTAACTACAGTAAAACCTTCCAGAGGGGGAACGTGGACTTCCTGGAAACTCCTGAGACCATTACCACCATGTTGGTTCCTGGTAAGAACATCCATAGCATCAACAGTGAACTGTGTGACATCAACAGGAAAAAGATTAAGACTGATTCAGGCAGCTTTTGCTGGGGCTGCCGTTAATCATAAAAAGAATCCTCTCCAGACAAACAATCGATTTTTTAAGATTCAAATCAGGGCTCTGCAGTGTTTGAAGTTATTCAAAGGTCATGCTGAGAGATCTCTGCTTTGAGATTTCACCCGACAAATGTGATTAAGCATCAGAGAAATGAGATTGGTTAAGAGCTTGACACTGGGAAATCAACAACGACTCAGTCTACTTGTCTGCACAGTTAACAGTGACTTTTCTTGGTTAAACGTGGCACAATTTGCTCTCCTGGAATAATTAAATTTTTAATATTTTAGCATGTGTTTTTTATGGTTATTTTGTGGGGGGTTTTCTCTTCTCTTTTCTATTTCTACCTTTAAAAGTGTCACTTTCAGCATTGGGCCAGTTATTTTTGTTTTGTGTTTCCACTGCAGCCTCCTGGTGGGTCCTCAACAACAACTGAACATGGACACACACTTCTCTTTACTGATGGGTGCAAACAAACAGCAACTGGCCAACACATCTGGAAGTCCACAGCAAGAGCAACAATGCCGCCCTACCACTGACACACGCACACACACACACACACACACACACACACACAC